TTTAAGACTACAGTTTCTAACCTATTCTAAAATCTGACTACACTAGACAGGACAAAGTTTAAACTGTAACTATGATTTGATTTAAGACTCATCCAAATATCCTCAAGGAAATACACAAGGACAGAACAAATCTGTACAGGCCTTTCCGGTGTACAGCTTTTAATTATACCATCTCCAAATTAGGAAAGAGTTAAAAATTTGCATTGACAAGAGACAAATTGTGTAACACAGAAGAAAGCCACGTGTTCTTTGTGCACTGCTCATGTGTTTTAAAATGTGTTAGTGAATTATAAGCTCCCTGCACTCCAATGCTTTGCTAAAGCTGGTAAAATGGAACCAAATCACCTCTTCAATGGATTTGGTCCCCTTCAACCAGCTGTAGCTATGCATTGATCACTACAGGATTTCTGATGTTGTTAAAACTGCTCATGAAACCTGCTCAGAGCAATTATGTAGTCCTCTCTTCAGTCCAGCTGAACTTCTAGGCAGCCTGAAGATGGAAGGTAACCAGGAGTGTAGCAAATTCTGTATTCCAAAATTTCAAGTTTGTATTTGTAAATAAATAGCTACTGGTGTTTAACATTTTGTCCATATGCAGTAAAAACCATCTCTTACAATATTTATAAAGAAGATAGGTAAGCAGTGAAATAAACACTTCCTAATGATTTATTGTCCCTTGTATTCTTCCTCAAGTCTGGTACCCTTTCTAGCAGAACTTACCAAAAAAGTCCAAAACCCAAAAAGAAACAATCATGAACAGTATTGGCAGGGCAGGTTTACTTTCTGGACATTCCTCTCCCCATTTTTATGTTGTACAAGGAAGGAAATTCCCCAGGGCAGGAACTGTATTTGCCATTTTGTATCTGTCGGGCACATTATTTACTACTTAAAGATAATAAATTTGTTACTGACCTCAACAACTACAGGCTAATCTGCCACCTAATAACAGTCTGCTCATGAAGATTATACTCTTCCTCCAAACCAACTTGAACAAAAGTATTCTTCCAAAGCATTTTCTAACATAATACTTTAATAAGAGGTTTTAAAAACAGACTCTCTTTGCACTTAGAGCTTAACCTACATTTACTGTCAGGAACTGCAAATACAAAAGCAAAAAACCACTTTGACTGGTTTAGAAAATAATTGTACCACTCTCATTTCCTCAGAACTTGTCTCTCTGAGACCTCCATGACAACACAGCCCGTGAGTCCTGCAGACACTTCCTGAAGACACTCATTAACACTACGTAGAAGTGAGAAACCCCACCTCTCAATTAAATTGCTACAGTTAGAAATCTCACTGCCAACCCGTTCAAACCATCTGCAAATCTAAAAAAAAAAATTGAGATCGCCCAAATAATAAGAAAACCATGGGGAAAAGTTACAATTCTATTTTAAACCACAATCTCCTGCTTGCCAGTTTAGGAACATAAAGATGACATACTTCTTGCTATTGGAGAGCAATACCTAAGATCTGTATCTCACTCCAAGACTTTAATTTTTTGATTTAAAGTCCAGCAGAATTTATTGCCCTGAAGAACTAATCATGCACGTGTGTGAAGTCAGGTCAGCTCCAAGAGCAGCCTCTATTTAAGATGCTAGCTGCAGAGTGAATAAAGCTCTCTTCACAAGATACAATGCAAATCTAAAACTAACTGGGGCAACGGATATAAAATACGCCTACACTTCACAGTCATGTCTTCAGCTCAAAATCTGAAGTCACAGGTATGCGAATAGATCAAACACAAGCAAGAGATGATAGCGTGGCAAAAATAACCAATCTGTACAGTATTTTCAAATTTTACTCTCCTTTTTTCTGTCTGAAAAAAATAATCTCATTAACACTGAAGAGGCAAAGTCTGCCAAGCTCTGAGGCTCACAGTACTTTGAAAAAAGTCCAAAATAAATGCACTTTTAATATGACTGACTCAGTTAAAAATCACGAACAAGAAACCATGTATTAAATAAAAGTTTAACTTTCCCATACTTAATTTAAAATTTCTTTTTAGTTCTATCTCCCATGCACAAGTTTAAAGCTACCTACAGCATTAACTAACATTCATTCTACATTTCAATATTATACATCAGCACAAAAACCAAAAGTTCCTTCTGTACCAATTCACAAGGTACAAAGAGAAGCAAAACATGAAAAGGAGAAATATTCTTCTAAGAATAGGATGCTCTCTGAAACACACTGTACCTTGACTTGTGGAAAACACAGCCAAACTGCCATGGAAGATAAAGTGCTGAGAAAATCTCAGCAGTATTTGACATAAATCGCTATCTTTCTTATATTATTTATCCAATATTCAAACATTTAAAATAGAATGTATTTGTTTTCATATGAAAAATTAAAAACTTTGGCATGTTCTTCTCAGCATAACTTGTAGGCTTTGTCTTGGGACATTTATCTCCCTATTATTTATAAAGGTCAGAACTCAAGAAACAAGAAATTTTGCTCTGAAAATGAAATTGGTTCCAAATACCTATTTGACATCAACCAGAAAAAATACTACAGAAATCCACCTCCATTTATTGTGATACTCATGCACTTAACACATATATTTATTTTATTATCCTCAACAAGGATGGTGCATGTGAACTTCATTAATTCTTGCATACATAGCACATTTTTAATTTTTAGAATTATAGCTATGCACACAAATGCCTACACATTTATATATATATTTGAATACGTGTTTAACTTTTATAAAATAATACAGAAATTACATAATATATCTATATATTTGAATATAAGGAGAATTTAATGCATTGTATTAATATAAGGCACCACATCCTGAAGCCACAAAAATTTCAGTTTAGGTGGAGCAGGGAAGCTTAGATGAGGAAAGATAGGTCTCAAAGTAAGGTTTCAAGCAGAACCTATTACATACTGTCTGTGACCCACAGTAGTAATAAGCTAAAGATGAGGGGGTTATTTTTAACAGTGTTTTAAATAGCTTGTGCTTAGTGCATTTAACAGACCAGTAATAGCCGTTGCTGTATATCAGATTAGAAAAACAAAGTGGTAAAAACAAAAACTTTGGTTTCATTCAGAAACAGGCAAGTGGCAGAACTACAAAATCAGCAATGAAACAAAGGAGTATCACTGATGTCTTGAGGAATATAAAACTCAACTCCTAGATGAATGAAAATATTATGACAACTTTTGGCTAGGGGGAGAAATCAAAATAGATTTATTTTGGTTTCATTTTCAATTATTTCTTCCCAGGCTGATGGGTAAAATATCTAATGCTGTGAGCATTAGATATTTTGGATTAAACTACTCCTTCCATGATGGGAGACAAAATTCTTTTTCCACATGCTTGAGCAGTGCTCAGATGGAACTGCAACCAAGAAAGAATATTAAATATCTGTTTTAGATACTAGTGAAACCCCTTGTATGGAGGGAACCCACACAGCATTCAAATCACCAATACTGGAAACATTTTCCAATACTTCCAATGAAAACTTTTGTAAAGGAGGAAGGATTCTGGTTAAAATTGCACTATACTTCACATTCTACCAACCATCAAACTGATACAGTCTGAACTACAACTTGGATCCCTCCATTAAATGAATGGTCTGTCACTGCTAAAATACTCACCCACAGAAAAATCTCCAGCACATGCCTATGAAAAACATTTTTTCCCCCATACACTTTCCCTACATCTCATCTTGAGATTATGGTTACACAAACCAACTACCACAAGAGCTGAGGAAAAGCATTGCAGGGAAAAAAAATAAATATACCCCACCAGGGTAACTGAGACAGGAAACAGTGCTCTGGGCTAATGCTGTTATATAAGTAGGAAGAACTCACTTTAGAGGAAGAAGTTACCAAATTACCAAATGAGACTTGGAAGAATTGTCTTCTGAATGCCAAAAATAAGCTCCCTTCCCTTGGTCCTTGACATGTTCTCATAAAGACCTTTTATGAGTACTGTAGAAAATGGTAAACATTTATTCGTCCTATCAACACTTCCAGCCACTACTTTTACCTCATTAAATTATTCCATTCCACAAACATAGATAATAATTATGTTTACTTTTTAACTATCAATCTTGATAGCTGTGTTCTAAGAGACTAACCTAGATTTTAATCCCATATATTAATAATGGGTGGAATTTATACAAATTTACAGCATTATTTCTCCAACTCCTCTCAACTGAAAAGCCAAATTTTGTAAGGAAACATGCACATTTCTTCTTTTGTGTAAACTATATTAAATACTCCACCCAAGGATAAAGTATTATTGAAGTCTTGTTGGCATGACAGCTTTGAAAAATACTATTTATCCACAGTGTAATAAGGAATCAGCAACACAACTTTTCTTTAAAGTTCTATCTATGAAGGATTTTTCAAGAGCTACCTTAACTGAAAATTGAATATAGACATATAGAATGCAGTAAGCATAAAACAAACTATGCTTTAAAATGAATTTTTTCAGTTGAGCTGCTATATAAAAGCTAAAACACAAAATTCCTTCTAGATATACTGCTATGAAAATATAATTAACTGTTTCAAATACTGACAAATATAATTTAATGCAATAATCCTGAGTGCTTTAGAAGTGTACGGTTTACTTAATAATTATCCACAAGTAAGTATTTCTAAAAACCTCAAATTCCTTTATCAATTCCAATACTCAAGAAGGGAAACAGCAGTATTTACTATTTTTATCCTATATCACGATTTCATCTTCAAGCTCTTACTAACTTATTTATCAAAACTTTTATTGGCAAAATTTTATAGCCATGACAGGAGATTTCTCAGGAATTTGGAGTTATCTGGATACAGGCATTAAACTGAGCAGACTCCTAGCTTCATTCTAGTAAGGGCTTCCAAACATTAGAAAGATAGCTAAGCAACATCAACATTTAAGAAATACATCTACATGCAGATATAAGGACCTTCTGAAAGAATACCATAGTTCTACCCTCACCTGTACTTGTTTTCCTTTTACATACAATAAAAAATAATTAAAAAGAAATCTGTACCTAGGGTTTCCTCTTAGTGCAGCATGATGAAGAGCATTAAACCCATTGTTGTTGGTGATAGTAACATCTGCTCCAGCTTCTAAGAGTACAGCAAGGATATCATCACGCTTTTTACTTATTGCATCATGAAGTGGAGTGTCTCCCTCAGAATCCTAAAACCAGAAACAGTTTATGTCAATTTTTGCATGCATCCACATTAAAAAGATGCTAAAATATCACTAGGAAAACTGACTGCATAAACACAAAACAGCTCTTCCAGACCTGAGTGCTGCTATATTGCACAGTTCAGAGCAAGCTGCCTCTCATCTTGCTCCAGTTTTGCAAATGCTTCAGTGGGAAGCCCCACCCTGAGCTCCACCATTGTACAGACACATTACTGCCAGAACCACGCTTTGTACCCCATAGTGCTGAAGACACTGGGGAAGATAATGACTTCTCTATGCTGCTCATCCAGATGGAGTTGGATGCCCAAATTAAAATTTATAAATAACAGGACAGCAACAAAAACTAATGTGACAGAGGGAAGACTAGACAGGCAAAAGGAGGCATGGAATTTTGAGTAATAAATGCTAAGTTTAGCCAGCAATTAACCATGTAGAAGACAATACCAAAATGACAGTATGAAATTAAAGCATAGACAAATCAAAATAAAATGCAGTCCAGGTACTAAAAGTAGGCATATCTGTTGTTTTAACTGAAGCATATAACTTTCCATGAAGCAAAAGCCAATGTCAGAATGCAATATTAAGCTTTTAACTTGTTTTGGCAAGATTATATTACACAAGGCACATGATAATACTTGACAGCACAATTGAACAAGCAAAGAATTTATACTTGTAGTTTAATGCTTTATTTTTTAAGTATCCCAAATAAGGAAAAAATACTTGTTACTCCTAGAAGCATTTTGTACATTACTTATTCAAGGACTCAAATGGTTGGATTGAAGAGAAATGCCCTAGACTAACAGCGAGAAAACACATCCATTTAAGCTTACTTCCAGCTACATAGGCAAAATCTCCAGATTGATGCTTCCAGTAAAATTGTTGCACCATTTAAGTCAGGAAGTCTCTTGCCACCAACACTGACTCAACTGCAAGCTAACACAGAAACTGAACATTTTAGCAATTCACTAGTACAAAAACAGATCTCTACAGTGAGAATCAAAACCTGCCAAACGAAAAGTGCCAGAATATGGCACTTGAACCAGTGTGAACCAATTTGCCAGAACCAAATCACGTAGCTTTTACTTGGTTTAAATGCTCGTATTTAATTAATATATGTTTACAGAGTGAGTGGCCACAGTAGTAGAGTGCTGGCCAGTTAAATTCCAGTCATGCCTCAGTCTCGCTCCCCTGTGTTTTCATTGACAAAATCAATCACCTACTCACATTTGCACATTGCAGTTCCTCAGCACACATGCTGAATCTGAAAGTTCATTTTTTTCAATAGCCAATTATATTTTCCAGATGCAGCATCCTTGCACCATTCCACTGACTTTTTCAACTGAAACAAAATTCTGTAATTTAGACTTGGGTAAATCCACTTTGGCTACCCATAGTTCCTATGTGAGTTACAATCACCCTTCACTGGTCTCAGCACATGAAGCTCCTTATTATACCTACTGTTCAACAAATACTAAACAGGATCTGGATGGATAGAACAGCTCAATCCCAGCAAGATCAAGACAGTACCTTAAGAGTGACACAGAAGGAGATAAATAAACAATCACTATGCACATTAATTTCAAAAAAGTTTTTGCTCATCTTCTTTTATGTGGATATACAGCCCCAAAAAAATCTGATTATTGACACGGCAAAACAAGGAGGTAATGTCTTGTTACTGAATGTCTTGATTTGCCCAGGCCACTACAGCTTTTTCTGATGCCAATCTCTTCAAACTTAGCCATTCTCATTTGTTTTACTAATCCAGTTCATGCAGCTGCATTCAGCAGTGGGATACCTGCTTATCTGATGGCACATTTCCATTCTACCTGCTAAATAGGACATTGCACTTATGCTACTGCTTCCATCACCTTCATTACAGATGAAATTCCCTATGAAATTATGGTACTTGAGATCCTACACGAGTGCTTTCTAGATAAAAAGATATTTGAAAGTGAATCCGACTAAAGAGTTCTATCAATGATAAGTCTATTTTGGGGAAAAAATAAAAGGTTTCTTTTAACAAAACTTTCCACAGTCTTGTCGGCCTGCTAAACTGTAGCTTGCAGAAGGAGCACAGAGCTGTGGGTTCGATACAGGAGTAATTAATCAGGAAGGAAAGTTAACAATTAGAAATAACTACAGACTGTGAAAATAGCAATTAGTATCAACTATAGAATAAACCAGGTGTCAATCTAGCTGTCAAGAAAACAAACAGGCTGAACAGCATTTTTGTTACAGTTGATCACATGGTGGGGTAGAGGTTGAGACAGAGAACTTTACCATCTCTGTTCCTTTCAATGCCATTTACCATAATTTTTCTATCACCTACTTGCAGTGAATCACACAGTTCAGTAGCTGAAAAGTGACTCTCCATTAAAATTTACCTGGAGACTGGGGTGGCAGCCAAAGTCCAGTAAAGTCTTGACAACTTGCAGATGACCTTTGTTGACAGCAATATGGAGCGGAGTCTGCCTGCGCTTGTTGCGAGCATTGAGATCTGCGCTGCCGCGGTGCAAAACCTCAATCACAGCACCCTCGTCACCAAAGGCTGCATGATGGACAGCCCTGTCTCCATCCTTGTCCTGAAGTGGAAACAATTTGTTGTAATAAGAAAAATGAGACTTCCATGACACCATTAAAATACCCAATTAAATAATTGCTCAAACTGCAGCAATAGAGGATGAAGAATCACTTCATATATAAATACATATGCTCTAAAACATGTGACAATCCACAGCATATATAACTATTGCCCTGAATCTCTGTGTGGTTTGTTCATCAAACTCAAATGGGTTTCATTTGGGTTCCTACTACAAAACAATCACTGTCAAGAAAATATCCAAAACAAAAGAACCAAAAACCCCACAGACTAAATCCAATGACCAAACAGTATTACACTTAATATCCCAGGGTAGTTCTTCCTGTAATCTGGGAAGTGTTACAGATTCCAAACCATAGTGCAAGACACGAGTATTTTCTTGTTCATGTAATTAGGTTAGTATTTATTAGGATTTATTATGTGTCTTGGTTTTCACTTAAAAAAAACTTTTTCCAAAGGAAATTTGTGACTGATGCTGACATTAACTAGAAGTTTTGATTCTGTGTTGATGATTCACAGTGTTAAAACTCTGATTCAGTTTGTTTCAGTTTCACACAAATTGAGAATCAAAATGTGAAAGTCAAATTTGTCAGTTTGGGCAATTTTAACCTTCATAGAAGTTGACTGTACAACATGAAACATTTTAAAATATCAATCAAGTGATTTCAGCATTAATGACAGTATAGAAAAGATAGAAGTAAAATGGAAGTTTACATGATTAAATAACTTCCATAAGCTAGTTTCTAGCTAGGTATTTCTGCACAGTTTAATGTAACCATGCATTTGTAGGATTCAATTTTGAAAACAGAGAAACACTGAAAATTGTAAAATAAAATCATGACTGATCAATGGCTCACTGCCTCTCCTGAGTGAGCTCAGGTTTCTCATCAATTTGCTTCTTCAGCAACATCTTTCTAAGTACTTTTTATTATATATTGCACATTTCTAAAACATTGTAAACCTATGCAAAAATTAGTAGCTCTTAGCACAAACTCTATTTGCACAATGAGACTAGTTACAGCATTTACAATGGTGGAAGAAGACTTATCACCTAATTATCAAATGTATCTTTTTGAAAACATGGATATGGCTTTCAAGATATGGCACTACATAGCAGCTTCTACAGCTTTTTGAAAAGATACTTTGTTTCCTTCCAAGTCAACTCACACTACCAAAATGCCTTCTCAGATTGCAGGATTACTTCTCAGGCTCATCTAACAAGAACCAACAGTCCAAAAAAGCCAAAGTTTGCCCATTTGGAAGGGAAAATGATCAGAAAGGGGACCTACTCTATATTTTTCATCTGGTTATAAGGATCATTATGAGGCAATCTTTATCAAGAGTGTGCCAGTCCTAAACTGCTACAAGACTTGTATTTACAGAGCACTTGGTTTCACAGAGGCATGGTAATTTGTCTCTTCATGTTTGCAGTCTGAAAAGTGCACCAAGATATTTATGGATGAAACCCCGTATAATTATTGACTGTTTTAGTTTTACCATATTTCAATCCTGAGACACAACCGCCTGATTTTATTAAGTCTTAATGTACAGAATTCCTACTTTAATAAGCAGAGGTCCAGTATCATGTGGTCCTTTTTTTAGCTCAGCATCAAAGCGAATCATCTCGGAAACTAAATCCTACCCAATAGCAATAATTCATCTAGAAAAAGCTAGCAGCTAGTAAACCATCTGTCCTTAGGACTTACGTTTACATTTAGATATAAATCTAAATATTAAAAGCACTACATTTCTATCCATGCCAACAGTATAATATAATACTCTTCATATAATAACTGACAACCATTAATGCCTTCAGCCTAGAAGGTTACATATTCTTAATATTCAATATCTACATTGGGTTTTTGAGCTACACCAATAACCAACTGTTCTCTGACTAAACAGAGGCCACTTGTAGAGTACATTAAGACATCAGAGAAAAACAGAGGAGAAAACAATGACGATATTCCCAGAAAATGTAATCATGAATGGATATACTCTGAAGTAATGACTATAAGTGTAAAAATATCCAACTTAGCTACAAAGCAAGGAAAGTAAGGATTTTTATCCATTGCTTCCATGCCTCAGACCATAACAGTGAAGTAAATGGACGACATTTTTGCTCTCTGCTTAATGGGACAGCTCTGCTGACCTTTGCATTTCGTAAACAATTATGTTTATAAACATTATATATACGTATAAAATATTGATAAAACAGCTTACATTTTTAAAGTTTGAAAGATGTAACTACAAATCTAATAGTATTATGAATATTATTACTATTATAATAACCAAGGCAATTATATAATCAAGTGGGAAAACCATCCTCACTTCAGCAACACAGTTATGTGAAGATGGCTTTAAAAGTCAAGTAAAATCCCTGACAATTTTTTTATGCTAGTGTAATGGTGCTTCTATAGCCTGAGCAAACATGAAACTCTTCACAATTCTAGTGCTAGTAGATTACCAGGTGGATTGTCTTCAAACTGTTTAAGTAGTGCTTCTACCTATCTCTTTAACGCTTCTAACCGCCCCTTCAGTCCACCACTTGATTAACATGGCAGCTCTGAACACCAGAGTACAGACAAGAAGCAGTTTAGCCTAATTTTACCAGTATTTGCTTTATACTGCAGTGAAAGCACTACTTCTATCATGAAGTTATTTCACAGAAATCAGACCACAGCAAGTATGTATTGCATCAATTTAAGCCAGCATGAAAGCTTTATAAATTAATGGTGTGTCTGTAAAAATAAAATAATTTTAATTCCAAGAATTACATTGTCTCATTAATGTCTTAATATTCTTTAACTTCTGTATATCAAACACAATATAATGCTAGATGCTCAAGCATGTGAAGTTATTTTTCTGTTATGCAAACAACAACTGGGTGCACAATTAATTTCTCAGCATCCCACTAGTCTTCAGTTTTTATTATTAATAAATCAAATTTGACAGATCCTTCTTGTGCTTCTTGCCTTGTGCAAAACAAGAAATGGTTGCAATATCAGAGTGCATTCTGTGCAAATAATTGAGTAAAAATCAATTCAAAATGCAAATATCAGAGTATGCTGATAGATAATTCTCACGCAGAGTTCCCATTGTATTCTACTGTTGAAATGAAACCAAAGGAAAGAAAGAAGGGCATGGTGGCTTACATAGCTCTATCATGTTAGTTGTTTTATTTCATTTAATAAGAAGTGGTAAGGAATTAGATATTGACCCTTCATAATACTGTTAGTAGGAGTTTCATTTAGTAGGAGTAGGAGTCACAATCACAGTTATAAAAGCAGTTTTTCACTCTGGCATTTAAAAAGAAGGCAAGTTGAGTACAATTGTTATGCATGTAACAAAGTTTAAGAACACACAAAGCATATTTTGAAATTTTTAGGTTACCTCTGCTTCTACATCCACGTTCTGTTTCAGAAGCAACTTCAAAATGTCAACATGGCCGTTCTGGCTTGCAGCTTGCATAGCTGTGTGTCCAGCACATTGCCCATTCACCTGGAATGCCAACACTTGCGGGTGAGTTCCAAGACAAACACACACACCTCTGCAAGGCTGTTCAGCAGGAGAAAACTCAAAGCAACAGCATACATAACAGAATCAAATGAACAATTTTAAGATGCCTTCTTAGCATATATGGATCACCTAGAGCTTCTCTATTTCATTTCTATATTAGCTAGATTGAAGGAAAGAAGAAGAAATGGATTTATAACAAACATTAATGATGCTTGAATTAAAAATATTCATCTTTGGGTGACTCCTGTAAAGGCAAGATTTTTGAGAACAAGTCTCAGATGTATACCTGTCCTCTGCTCTATGGTACAACTTCCTTGCCAAATTTATGGCAACAACAGGAGAGAGTCTGAACAAAAAGCCATGTTTTGTCAAATCTTAAGATAAAAATCAGTGCTCAGAACCGAAGTTCAGACTCTTATCTCCAAGCATTACTACTACTGTAGTGAGGAGGACTGTAACTTTAAAATATGTTCTATAAATGGAATCCTATAATTACTAAGCATTTTATTTTAGACTTTTCAGTATTAGACAAGTCGGTAAAGAAATTTGACAGAGAACAGATTAGATTATCTACCTTGTGAGTTTTAACAAAACAAAACAAAACAAAACAAAACAAACTCACAACAGCAAAAATATCTTGAAAAATCTACCCTCCTTCCTTCTATGCCCCTTGAAAAAAAAAGAATTTGAATATCCTTCAGTAATTGCGAATGTTTGGTTCTCTGCAGCAACCCTGGCAGTCAGAGGCTGAAAAGTATCTTAATTTACGGCAGATAAAAGACTACAAAATCTGTCCAGCAAGAAAGTATGTACAGCTCTGTGTTCACACAGCCCACACACATTTCACAGGACAACAAATGAGAGAAGAGATACTGGAACTAGCCGTATTACTTCTAAGGAAGACACACTACCTACTGGCAAGGAGTATTCAGAAGAGCTGCCCTTCCTTTAGCACTAGAGGCCCCCCAAAGGAGATATTCCCAAAACAGAACACTCACATCCACGTCTGGCCTCTTTAGCAAGTCTTCCACTTTAGCAACGTCTCCATTGGCAGCAGCTTTAACCAATTCTTCATTGAGATCTCCAGACTCTTGGGTTTCAAATAATTTTTTCAATAGCTGGGACAATCTCTCTGTAATTGTTAACCAAACGACAACTAAGATTACAATTCTAATTACACAAGAACAGAAAAAAAACCCAGCTACATTTGTTTTGTTTCTAAGGCCATGTACATAGTAATACACAGACTACCATAAAATAGCAGCTGTAAAATGACTGAGTTTGAAATAAGAGCTGCACCCTAGTACCCTTTAGACAGTGGAGACTGCACATTAGACACTTCAAAACAAAGATGGTTGAACCATAAATAGCTTTTCTCCTGCAAAACACAAAAGGGTGGGACAAGGTAAAACCATGATCTTATGTATTGCTATTACAGACTTTCTAACATTGGGTATAGCCTGTCTTCTGTGATTTGAAACACTAAGTTGTATTGCTCTTCTAGATAGTTTTATGGCCACTGTACTCGGTTCTTTATTGAGAAAACTCATGACATCTATGCCTCCTTAGGAAAAAATCTAGAAAACTATGTAGAAAGTTTTCTTGGCATTAAAGCAAATATGTGAAGAGGAAAGAATAACTAGCTATGACTAAAAAAAGGAAAAATTCTAGTTTCAATTGAAAAGTGCCAACAAAACACAAAACATGCTGGACAGTTTTTCTGCCTTGTTATTATATGAATGACAGCATATTCAACAAAACTGAAGTGTGATTACATAGACACCAAAAAATCCCACTGTAATTAGTCACAGGATGTCTGACTAAATTTTAAGATAGAAATTTTAAGGAAATAAATATCCTGAGTTATAATAAATAACCACCTGCAACAGATCCCTTGCCTGTGCCTGCTAACTTAACCACCTATTAAAAAAGGAGGCTGCTTGTTACTGCCAGTGACACCCTCTGCATGCCTCAGTCCCTATTTCAATCTGACGTCCCTTCCAACTATTTTGAAGTCTTTAGAGTGGACGTCCAAAGACACACCTGCACTGCGACCAAACAGAAGCACCTGATCAATATAACAACATCTCCATATTGACTGCAAGCTTTTTTCCTGTCTTTCTCACATAAAACTTCAATTACTCAACTCCAAGGCTATTATTAATATTTTCATACAAAGAGTGTATAAATACCTATTAACAATTTTTAATTAACACAATTACTTGCCATACATATGGCAATATTACTAGTTATTCTTCAAACTTACCACCAGATGCATTACTTATAGCAGATCCTGCTGATGCCACCTTTGAGACAGCTGCTGGATTATAGGTCCAAGATGTCCCACAAACTTCTACCTTTAAGTCACTGTCTGAATAAATCTGCTGGACCCGACCAACTTTACCTAAAGTCTGAATTAAAGAAAACAACAAATGAAAGTGAAACATTCAGATATCTAAATATTTTATTTTTAATATTATATAAATTTTATGAAGTCCATTGTTTAACAGTACAATCACTACTACTTTTATATAGGTTTCATTAGGTAAGCAGATTGCTGCACCTGATCAACTATTACACTGAGTTTGACCAAAACTTAAAAGAAAATCCCTTTTAGACTGCTGCAGCCTCCAGGTACATTACAATACTGTCCAGGTACAATACAATAAAACACAGGTACATACCAATAATGTACAGGTACATTACTAGAAATACTACACAAGCCTGACCATTCTGTGAATGCAAACACACAGCAACTCACTGGAAGCATTGCCTCAGCCCACTCTCCGTGACCTCTCTGGAGAAGCTTGATTCGCTCCAGGTCATAACACACTTGCACAAGGTCTCCCACTTGGAACTGAGAGGTTCCTCCTTCTGCACCTTGAGCAGCATCTCCACTTCGGACAACGTTGGCCTTGGTAAGAACAGCTGGATTAAATGTCCACCTAAACAAATAAACATTTAAAGAAGATCTTAAACACACAAATTGAAACATATGTTTTAAAATCATCTGTTGTGTAATTTTCTGCTTGTATGCCTACAAACTTTCTGTGACTGGATACTATAGATACTATATTTGCTGTTATCCATTTTTTGTCCATAAACTTGCCTCATTGGTTCATTAATTGTGGCTCATTAATTAATTTCAAGGATAAGCTTCAGAGATATACATTTGTAAAGGCAATTAAGAAATATCCTGCCTATGGGGAAGCAAGCTGATAGCAATGTAAAAGTCCTGAAAGTAGCTATACTGTTACTTTATTTTTACAGGGATAAGAAATAATTGGTTGAAAAGCAGCAGATCCAAGTTGTCTCACAAGGACTGAAGTGTCAGGAAACAACATAAGAAGAACACAGAATTTTGGCCCTTCCCCCCAGGTCAAAAGATGCAACATTAAGTTATAATAATACTTTTCAATTAAATGGATGTCCCAGATATACCTCAATTTTCAATCTAACTATTGTATTGGAAGTTTAAATTGCACTGATTTAGAGGCATTACACTGTTTCGTCAGGGAGGAGACCACAAGACAGAGTAGCTCCTGTCACTGACTCTGCTGACATGACTGCCAGAAGAAAAGCCACTTGCATCCCTTTAGCTGGGAAAACAGCTTTGTTCTGCATTACTTTACAATATTAGCAAACAGTATCCTGAATGAACAGTACACTGTTAATTCTTTCTGAACAAACTGAACAGGTCAAACTCCATATACAACTGAAATGATATTCCATTCACCTGCTACTTTTTAAAGATAAGCCCAATACTTGAGAGCAAGAGAACAGAAAACCATGTGGCCATATTAGATTCAAACCCCGCTGTACAGCTGGCTTTGAGTCTTATTAACATGGACGCAGCTAAGCAAAATTCAAACCTAAATTGCTTGCAGGGAGTAGTTTTGGCTTCCCCAATACCTCCTCTTCTTGGTCTGTATTTACATAAACTAACATTTCTTTGAATAATAAAAGGCTAGATATGGACCATGCCAAGGTGACTCTAGTTTAGACAAGATCCCCCCTGAAGTTTGTCACCTGTCCTTTTAAACTATTTTCCTGAAAACCCACAATGAATTGCTATTACCTTGCCTCTTGAAACCATGCGATAAGATAGTTTTTAATTAAAAAGGAAGCTACTGCTTAAAACACTGCATTTTGCAAATAGGATAGTCTAGAATGTAATTTCTTATTGTGAACATAAATTTTTACAAGTGAGAGGCACAGCAAAATTCCTTTTCCCACTAAAGCATCCTCAAAGTGAATTCCTCATTACACATCTAGAAGGAAATCTTAACATACACAAAAGGAGAAGAGAAAGCTTCTGGCACCAAGTAATCACAATCACTGAAGGCAAGGGAAGTTTCTGAGAAGCAATGATAAAGGCTATAGAACAAACCTGTTGCCACTTGGATATTGTACTACAATGTCATGGTCCTCATCGATGCCACAAACCGTTCCAGTTGTTGTTAAAGTCTCAAACATGCCATCAGTCCATCCTCCATGACCATGCTGCAAAGACTGCACAATTTCCAAGTCAAGGTCAATGTTTACAAGGTCACCTATTTGCAGCCCGCCAGGGTTTCTGTTACCATTTTGCTCACCTGAAAGGGAGTAAGAAAAAAAAAGTTTACACCAGCATACTAATTTTCCAAGCAACTTAAAGAGCAGAATTTAATTTCTGAGACTCATAGAATTAAGGTTGGAAAAAACCTTTGATATTTTCAAGTCCAACCACCAACCAAGCACCACCACCATGTTCACCATTGAACCCTGTTCCAAGTACCCCACCAACATGTTTTCCACACTTCCAGAGATGGTGACTCCACACCAATGTCTCTGCAACCATAGTGGCCAAGAGGTAAAAAAAACTTCGGAACCTCTGGCAACAGAACTGTGTGCTGTGTGCTTCTTGTTGAGTTTTCAAAGCAAATAGCAGTGACACTGGCAAATGCTAAATACTTGCGACAAGTTCCACTACAGACTCTAACTGGGATCTTAAAAGCTATCATGTGGTATTAGACCTCTGGACACATAAAAGCTCTGGTGTCAATAAAACAACAGTGCTTTTGTGCAAGGAGTTAGATTTATTACATCTCTTAGTATTTAAGCCAGTTCTGTAAGAATGAACAGCTATGTTTGGCTTTTTAGAAATACACTGCACAGGACACACAACACAATTTATGACTTAATGAACGCTTAAAAGCTCCCTTGCCATCCCCTTGGCACACTGATACCAAATACTATTTAGAAAAGCATGACAATTTATCATTAGTACATAGAAATGTTACTATTTACACTTCACTAGTTGTTGCATCAGGACAGTACTTTGGGATGACATTTAGAAAAGAAAGGGAAATCCAGAGTGAGTATAATTAATACTAATCAACATGAATTTACTTCAGCTTACCTAACACAGGACAATGGTCTCTGTAGAAAGAGCCTCCTTTTGCATCTTGAACACATTTCAGGTCAGACTACGGAGAGAGATTGAGAAAACTTTAGTCCTCAGTGACCGAGTCTCCAGGTCAGTGAAACTAGAACTGAAATATTTAATTGAGAAAGGCTGAAAATTATGTGCACAAAAAACATGTCCCATGATGCACATAATCTCAAATACTTTCCAATCTATCAGCCTTGACATTCATAAGACTTTAATAACCTTTAAAAATAGAAGAGGCTACAAAGGATGTGAAATTTTTAGTTCAAAGTCAGGAATTAACACAAAGCACCTTTGATTGTTTTATTTAGTTATTTTTCCTTTTAAAAATAATTCTGTGAACACAAGCAAGGAAACATCATTTAATGCCTGCCAGTGCTGCCCACTTTTCCCAACACTTTTTGACAGATCCATGTTTAACTTGGAAGAAAACTTGCCACTCAGACTCTATAAAATGAAAACTTCTTAATTAAGACTATGAGGAAGGGTATTACTTCAAAAAAGCCTACAAAATACTACACAGAGCTAAACATGTTCTTTTTAAAGAGAAAAGTTTTAAAGCTCATCCTTCATAAAACTGTTTCATATTATGAGAAAGAGATGCTTCAAGTGTGGTAACCAACTCCTACTCATAAAGCCAGCGGATTTTCTATAATTCTCCTTTCCTTAATGTGTAATGCTTAATTCCAAATCGCTATTATCTGCCATTGTTCCTTATGAAACAATTCTCACTAAATGAAGGACATTTTGTGTGCAAAATAAGTTGGGAAGGAGATCAGAAACTGCAAAATGTGTCAGAATATTCAATGGCATGGGGGAGGAAGTAGGGGACAGGTGGTGGTAATGATATCATTAACCACAACTAAACATACTTGAACAATTCTTTTACCCCTGCCCGAGATTTACTGACAGACAGTCCTCCTGCAAAAGGATTAAAACGCAAACTCTGAACTCTTCCAAATCATCAAGGCTCTGATGAGCACAATACCACCCTTGGCAACCGGTAAGCAGAAACAATACAAAATTCAGTGTATGTCCTGATCTATGAAGAATGCACCGTCACTTTGGAAAAACGATGAAGACAACCAGAGGAAAACAATGAGCTTTTAGCCGCTCTTCAAATCCCCCGAGGGTGCAGAGAAAGCTCGCTCGGCACAGCAGCAGCAGGCCTGCGGCAGGATGCTGCCACCCGGTGGGCAGGTGCTGGGCTAAGCCCGGCCGCAGACAAAGGGGCTGCACGGCCCATCCCAGATGGCAAAACTTCATTCACTGCCCGGAACCAGGCAGACTGAACGTGCCCGGGAGCACTGCGTCTCACCCACTGAATACAAGCCCTCCGTGTCAGGCACAAGCAGCTGTCTGTGAAGGAGACAAGGAGGAGTGCACATGCAAGAGCTGCTGTCACATTCTTCAGAACACTAAGAATAGAGCGCAGCAGAGTCCAAAGGCTCTCCTCGCTGCCAGGCAAAATCAGGGTGAAAGACTGCTTGTGTTACAGCAAGTGTTAGTGCACTGAGCAGACTGATGGCTAAAACCTAGCAGAAGAAACAAAATGTTCATTAAAAGGCCAATTACTATTTTGCAGCTGACATTACTAGGAAGCCTGTTATGGTATCCTAAATTTTCTAGGAAAAAAAAACCCCAAAACTCAGAAACCTGCACTTGAATTTTACCCTGCCCGCACTGTGACCTGCACAGTTTATTTCTGCAGTATAATGATATGCTTGGTTGAAAGACTAAGTGGTAGATTGGTGTCCAACCTCAGCTTCACAACTGTCTTTCTTTCTCTTACATGATGTAGTCAATGTTACATTGCTAAAGAATAAAACAAGAGTCTGATCTAACTATAGCAGAAAAGCAAGGGAACATGGCATTTTTTTTTTTCTTTCCCAGAAGCCTTCAACAAAATAATGGAGGACCCAAAACACACAAAAAGATAAGACACTGACAGATACTAAGGTAGCACAAAACAAGCTTATATACTGTATATATCAGACTGCCTTTGGCAATGTGGCAAACAGCACTACTAAGAAAAGTACTATCAACATGATAAAGGCCTGCAAATACCTTAAAATATAACCAAACTCAAACAAGATTCTGGAGTTTTCAGACGGAAAACTGTAGTTAATTGTATTTCAGTGCCACAAAAGCTGGGTAAGCAACTAGAATTTTCCTTCTAGCACTCAGCTGTTATACTTCTCAGAGAAGCAAAATAAGCTTTCTCCTGCCCAAATAATTTAAGTAAAAAATCAGGGATGATGGTAAGCTCCTCATCACGCTACTCTGAAGACTGCATGGCAAGAGGCCCCCCTAGTGCACATGGAGAAAAAATACACATGGATGGAGCCTGGATGCACCAGACTTTGCACTTCAGAGAATCTCACTGGGATTTCTAAAAGCAATGAGTCACCCTGAGACTTCAAAGTCAATCAAAATAGCAGATTGTTCGGAGATGATACGTACAAGTGTAAAAGGGAAAGTACCAAAACAAGGGATGTTAGAATACAAGTTTTAGACTCACAGTGACACCACCAGAAAAAGAACTAACAACTGTGAGGCTGGGTATAATGTACATACATGGTGGAGATGAACAAATCAGCTTTTCTATAATGACTTGATGGAGAAATCATTTGATAAACCCCAAGTAGGATTCTTTCAGGAAACAGAAAAATAAGCTAAAGATCTTGTCGAATTTGTGTATGATTAGAGACAGAAAGTCCAGTTAAGCAGGCAATCAATCAGAACTCAAGGAAAAGCATGCAAATCAAACATTGCACTGTACAACTTGCAGGTCAGTTGATGCACATGAGCAATGGGCAATAACAGTCTTTGCCTACAAAGGAGAACTTTGGTTTTCTAGCGCCCACACTTTAACTTCTTAAAATCTGCATTCTAGCAGTATGTGGTTCTATTACACAGAGATCACGACTTGCCCAGTAAAACAGGAAATATAGTAAATGCACTTTGACATATCAACCAATCATATCAATGGAAACAAACAGCAGCAATTTCATCTTCATAAAACTTCAGAGAATGAGAAAATGTAGAGCAAAGTCAGCAGCGCTGCCAGATGGTGTAAAAGCACCATTATCCCTGACCTTGAGGAGGAAAACAAAGCTGAAGGAGCAGCTGACTACAGAAATAACTTTTAAGTTATTCCAATCAATATGGAATGCCATCCATCAATACCAGGGAGGAAGGATCTACAGACTTGGTAAGAAAACGAGCTGTGCTGCTGAGAAAACGAGGAATGTTTGATCCAGATGCACTGATGCAGCATCTAACATCAGCAGCAAATATTAGGGGAGAAATTAATACTGATCTTACAGATACACCAGCAGGAATACTGCCACAGCTGCAGTTGTTCAAGGTAGCACTGAACACACACAGTAAAGGTCACTTTAAGTCTTTAAACTCACAACAGCTTTTGGCAAGGAAACCAGCCCTTTGGAGGCAAATGGAAAAAGTTCAGCGCATGCTGCTTTGTCATCAGATTAAGGCAACAAGAGACTGGAATAATCCGTATGTTTTAGCTAAAGGTTTATAAGAAGTGCCGTGTTTCAAAGTTCATGAAATCAAATCTCAGTTTCAAGAAGCTGGGAAAAGTGAAGCAATAAATGGAGAAGCTATAAGATGGTAGAGAAAGTCACTGAAATGACAAAAAGGTGTGAGGCATAGAAACAATAATAACAGTTTCTTAAAGAGGAAACCAAACCTCAGGCAAGTACTGGGTGAATGGTTTGTAACCTTACTATTTATTATAGACACTTATAAAAGCTTTGCATGTGCAACATTTTTTTTAAGGAAGACACAGTCTTCCTTGTCAGTTAATACTATAAATAAAATTGGAAAATGATCAGTAAATACATTTCCCCTTAATGGAAATATTTTTCTTTGCAACACAGAAAGATGAAAAACTTGACTTGGTTGAGACTACAGGAGAAATGTGACTACATCAAAAAGAAGCAAAACAAAGTCTGCTGACAAATGCAAATAAATGCACATGATAAATGACCAGAGAACTGGAGATCTGAATGACATTACAGACCTGGCAGTTTTAACTACAGTGGAAGGTGTATATTTTGTAACACTCACATACAATGCCTAGTATACCAAGATATTTACCTTGCTTTTATTTAAAAAAAGGAAGTGGTAAGAAGAAATTCTTAATATCCTCTAGAGCATTTTCAAATAGTAACTTCACAGGTAATCCAAATAAAAGTTGATGAACAGACATTAATTATCAATCACCAAGAGGCAGGCAATCTCAACTTCCCTTATGCACTCACTATTTGGAATTTGTGGAAAAAAGTACACAAGCACAGATGGCTTACATATCACAGTGACAATGATGGATGATAACTACAGATACTTCTTTCAGAGGCTACGCAGATGAAAGCACAATCCTCCAAAATGAGAAACTAGGAGAGGCTATTCACAGCAAAAAAAAGGCAAGTGGTACAGAGAAAAGAAATTCTGAAAGAAACAGACTCCTAAATGATGAAATTGATTTAGGACACTCCTGTAGCTGGAACTATTTTCCAGTGAAAACCAACGGATGTCAACATCCTCAGCTCACATGCTATGAAGAAATAAAATCCAGCCACAAGTCCCAAAAGCAAAATCACAATCTTCCCATTAACTTTTTAATTCCATATGACCTCTCTTGCAAAAGGATATGTTCACACATTTTTGGAAACGAAAAAATGCCCAAAGCAGGTTACTTGGTTGACAGCTCAGTTTGGCTCAGGACTCTGAATACATATAGGTAAGAAATGTGAGCAGCATAACAAACCATATAAGCCAACAGTAGTTCATTCTTACTGAGGATGTAGCAAACATTTTATCTGACCTAACAGCATCATAAACACAGATTTCAATTCGGGAATTTGTGACTTGTGGCAACAGAAACTCCCAGACTTAAATGTCAGACTTTACCAAAAAAACAAACAAAAACAAAAAAACAGAGGCAAGATGCACTTCTCAGCCACTTCACATGTAAACACAGCAAACACAAATAAAACCTCCAAGTATCTGACCAGAAATAAATGCATGTTTTCAGTCAGCACCTGCTGCCCCACCAGGCAAACCTCATCTCTCCAAAGCTAGCAGGCCACATAGATTAATTTTGAGGACCAGATGCAGCCTATAAGCTATCAAACAAGAACACTGACTTACAATAATGAGCTGTGTTTCTTTAATCAGCTCCATTAGCATGAGTCAAGTGTTACCCATTTGCAAGTCAGGGTCTCTTCCCAGCTGTATTTACATGGCTACACACTCTTGAGTATTGTTGATTCCACATTCTCTGGACGTTTTAAACCAATTTCCAAGTACCAAAACAAGTTTGCCCCAACTTTATATGAACTTTCTGACAGTCTCAGCTTTATATAACTGCACATAAATAGTAGTAAACAATAATAATGAATTGTACACTTAATAAATTATTAACCAGTTATAAAATTAAGCATTACATTCAAATGACTCTCATAGATATTCAAGAATCCATTCTGTCTGAAGTGAAAATTGCATTTTTTGAAAACACCAAAGATACAATTAGTGTAGGATTGGATTACATTCAGGTAAGCACTACTTACACAGCCTCCAATTATCCTTTCTGTACATCCACGTGTACATATTTTTTTCTCTATTATCCTAAAAATAACGTCTACATACATAGTCTCACACACAGCTTAACAGGCTTTTTTTTTAATTAAGCAAATATTTGTATTTCTACAAAACTTGTGTGAAGGGCCACCATTCACACAAGTTTTGTGTGAATTTACAGCTGCACTACTTAATGGAGTTTTCTAGAAATATTTAACATTTTCAAAGGTGGCAAATTTGGGAAACAGTATAGTTGACTTAAAAATAATAACTTTTTTTTTAAATTAAGGGAATAACTATTTCAAAGCAGAATGTAACTTATCTCAAATGTACTTTTTTCATGAAACCAGAAGGAATCTTCAATGATTCCACAGCACTTTTATTATGTAGTCCAAAAATTTTTAACATAGCAACTGAAGTCATAACAACTACAACAACAAAAAAATCAGTTGATCTCATTCTATCTAGATTTTGTAACCATTACCTTTCCATGTATCACAAAAGAGAAGACACCAAACATTTATTTAATGTTATACTACAAAACACAACACACATTCATTTTTGCCAGTATATAAAGAATTTTCTTTAGAACTGGGGGACACCATGAAGCATATAATTTAATACTGACTCATATTTTGCCCCTGGGATCTCAATGCATCAGAAAAGCTGACCTACACTACACTACTTTACTCTTTTTAAATGTAACACTAAAATATGTATGTACTGCAAAAGTGGTATTTATTTTTATTTTAAGTATTAAAATTAGCTGTAATTGACGCTGTAAGGTCAAATAGTTTACATTCAAAAAAGTAACTGGCCATTGTTTAACATTTTATTACTGTTTCACATCTGACAAGATGACACTTCAATGTTAAATTAACATGGTTTTCCCCTTCACAATCAAACAAAAATCATGCAGAGAAAATGCTAATTAAGATGTTTTAAGCAGCTGATAATCAAAGTAACCTTTCCTTGACCCACATTAGGATAAGAAAACCCAGCAACAGAAGGCACTTAGGCTAGAGTCTGACCCATTTTCTTTCTAAAGCTGAAGAAGTTGCTGGAGAAGCTTCAAAAGGAAACAGAAAAATTTAGCGCCAAGCAAATTAAGGTTGTAATTTAACTCAACACCTTTCCATTTGCAAAAATTAAATTGCTCTCAATAGCATTCCAAGTACTGAAGTAATTTAAAAACTGCAAATCTTGCAGTAATCACACCAAAATTTGAAGTCAACGGAACAGTTCAGGAGTTGAAAAACAGGGTTTTAAAAAAAGTTTTTAACTATGCTTGCCTTCATTCTTTTCTGAATTTTAATCTAAACACAACAGTAGCACAGAAAGATAAATGTGTGTGAGGCAAATATTTAGTGTGCCAGAAAGCAGCTCTTAACTTGTAGTTATCCACATTTAGTAAATTCCCAGATCAGACTTCCTTACTAATACATATGCATGACCCTTATAGCTGGATTCACAATGACCTGACAACCAGCATGCAAACTGACAAAGCATATCACAAAAGCACAAGTTATTCTTACTGCCCTTCCCCCACCATGCATTTTACCCTTTGTGTTCCTTTATACTTACCATGCCCTCAAAGCCAACTCTGTAAAGGTTTTTAGCACCATTGTCCCAAAGAACATATGCTGCGCTATGTGGACTCGACGCGCTCCAATCTTGGATTTCAGTCACCTATTCAGTTGTGAAAATAAGAAACTGGTTTCTAGAGCAAAGACTCAGAAGTACAATTTGAACTTCAAAATTTACTCATCTCTTCAAAATAATTAATGACATTGTAGTTTTACTAAACCTGATAAAATTTCTTCTGAAGCTGTTTTCTGCTTGATGCAGGTGTTCCCTGGGTGTGTTAAGACAGCAGTCTGATTGTATACTTTGTAGGCCCATTTTTCTTTTGTATATTTGGAGGTTATCTAACTACACAAGCAGAGAACAAAATCTGAACAGCTCTGATATGCTCCTACCAGAAGTATCATTAACTAAGAGAAACAGGATGAAAACTATTCTAATTGCTTTAATATGTCTGGTTTAACTTGCATTAGCCTGGTGGCTATGCACTATGTTAAGAGACAGTTTTATTTCCAGAGCCAGTATGTTTAACAACAGTACAAAAGGAGAGTGAAAATGTCTTTCCCTGACATTTCTGAAATCAGGAGGCCATGCATCAAATTCTGAAAACATTTCCATTATTTAAAAACACAGAAAAAAAATCAGTTTACAGATTTTGCTTTCACTCTTACTTATATTTATTTAAACAATGTTTCTGCTAGCTACGACCTACCTTTCCACATTTAAAAACATTTATATGCATTTATATATTTCTTCAGATATGCAGGTAAACAATCTCTCTAATACAAATTTAGTACACAAAGCAGACTGTGCAGGATAAGACTCTTATTTTGCAAAGTTTCAGAGATTTCAATGTATTTTGACATGGAAAGGAGTAAATAATCAACATGAAAAAAGCTGCATTTAAATATCTCTTGTCTTAAAAGATTTAGACTTACTATTTCATTTCAGTAAAACTCAAAATGAAATCCCCAAAAGTCCTAAGGCTTCCATAAATGTCTAGTATATAAAATAAGCTAAACAAGAATATAAAATAGGCTAAATATCATGGTCAGGAACTTTTCACTCTCCTTTAACTGCTGTTTAAGTGTATTAAAAATAAATTCAACAAAAAACCACCAGGTCGCAAAAGATACAAGGGCAGTTAAATCCGATTCTCAGATTTGGTGATAAAAGTCATAGTGTATTTTACACTGCCTGTTTAAAGTTCATACTTATACCAAACCTTCATCAGTTCTCAAGGTAAATGGAAGTTGTTAAAGTAAAATATGCAAATGTTATGATTAGTAACTTATCATTCCATACAATTTGCAATAAATACAAATATTTTTCTATAGCACTGCATAAAAAGCACTCCAAGACTGTCCTAAGCCAGTAACGTAATAGCCACACCCAAAACTTGCAAAGCTTTTTGATTTTAAACTGGAGAAATCCCATTAATCATTATGTGAAAAACAAAACCCTAGGGTGCCAGCACTGAAAACCAAGAGCAAGAGATACACTAACGTGCTGGCCCACAAGCAGTAAGATTAAAGAACACAGTGATGACTAGAAAGGGCTACTCTTGATAGCTCTGTCTTTATACCAGCCCTCTAGTAACGCTGAAATATGCTCAAGATCTTAACGTTGCTACAAATCTTAAACAAACAATGACAAAAAATTAAGAATTAAAAAAATTCTGTGCTGATATTGTAAAAAATGCAAATTAAAATGTAAAAGCACTGGCTACGGTGTACACATCCTCCGCTTCCAAAATGCTTAAATATTTCCAAAAAAAGATTAAAAAGTGCCCAGACAACTAAAATACAAGCTTTCATGATTGTATTTTTGCTCTACAATTAAAAAGGCCACTGAGGCCATTACATGAGCAAAAAGAGGTGCAGTTTCTTATTTAAACCAGTTTTATTTTTACCTTTCCTCTACGCCCATTGCCACCATCTTGATCTTCCCACTGCCAGTCAACTCCTCGCACCACCCTGGCACCTGCAAAGATTCCTCTTGCTGTAATTTTCTTTGATTTACGTCGAGACTCCAACAATACCCTGAAGTTATTAAAAGAAGAACCCACAAATGTCAAAATAATAAAGGAAGTCCAAAACAAATCTTTGGGGATGGGAAGGAGAGCATCTTAAAACAAAAATAATCCACAACTGCAGATTTCAGCGCATGAATCACACAAGCAGTACACAAGATAAAACCCCAGGAATTTCCAAAATCTGATTCATTGAATGTTTATGATTAGTTTTTCAAATTCTAACATTTTTTCTCCAGACTTCCTACTACCAGCATTCATCTTGTAAATGCTTGCATATAGATTTGTACTTATATTATTGAAATCATTAAAGTATGTGCAAAGCCATATAAACACATCTCTGTTTCTCTTAGATGTGCTCTAAGCCAATACTTCTGTCCCACAACTGCTCTGTCACTTTTATTCAGAATTATGCTAAGAGCATTTCTTCTCCCTCCTCTCAGTTCTTCTACATTTTTTTTATAGCATCTCTGAGCAAATTAAGTCAATATAGTAGCATCCATTTCTTCAGTCATATAATGTGTTTTTTTCAAAGCAAACCTCTTCTATTCCTTCTGACTTCAGCAGAACTGAAGTAGACAAGCCTAAACAGAATGGTTCATGATTATTTAACTAGAAATAATAATCTCAAAAGCCACCAATTTTCATGTAACAAGGCTTCTTGCTTCATACCAGGAACATGTCGCCAGACAAGAGAATTTTTCAGCTGACATACAGAATGTTTCCTGACCACTTCAGGAAATTTCTCAGCATCCTGCTAACTTTTAACATCCAGCAGATGGCACACAAGGAAAGAGTTCAACTGTTACAGTCAATGCAAAGAGCACATGAAAATATTGGCCATTTTTTCCTAAGAAAAATAAAAGTTACCAAAAACACAAAGTAATCTCGTTTAGAGAAGTTTCTTAACCTATAAAACTGAGACAAAAACCTACATTCATTACTTCATTATGCCACCCGTACAATATCCCAGACCCAAAAATAAAACATTAAGAGCTTATGCTTCCCTTCATCAAAACGTTCTTACATGTCTCTTGCCATTTTTCCTGTGAGACATCCCTCAAATTCAACAGCACTGTTTTGCCCTTTTCTCCTCCCCAAAATAGTTAGCTTCCATCATTTGTTCTCAGCTAAGCTTGATCCAATAGAAACAGCTCCTTAGCAGAAGAAGCTGCTTTCTAGATAAGAGCTCAGTGAGAGTAAACAAAGAAAGGAAGAAAGTGACAAGATGCAAAAAATTTCCAGCAATATTTTACACAGTGTACAATCTATCTTCAAAACTAAAACTTGTACTGTATTCACCATAACCAGCCTCGTAAAACTACAAGGGAAACCTCAGCTTAAGAAAGAAAAAGAGTCTGGCAAGCTTTCTCAAAAGCAAGAAGATTTCAAAAAAACCAAATAAATAGAAAACATACTTATTTTGCCACCTATTCTCCTTTAACTAAATTAAGAGAGCATCTCAAAGTCCAACTTCTAAGTCTTGTTCTGCATTCAACATTGCAATTGAGAGTAAGTTTATGATACCCGTTTATTTGGTACCTAAAGCTACTGGTGTGAGCCTCCAAAAAACAGCCAACAAAAAGTTCTTATGTTTTGATTAAGTCACTGACTTGGACATCTGAGCCACGGTTAAAACCTTTAAGCAAGCACTTGAGAATGTAAACACAGACCATGTAAGACATAATTTGAGACCTCAGGCTGTGTGCTCCAGCCACTTCCCTTAACTGTACAAGAACTGATTAAAGCACACCACTCATTTCCAGCATACTTGTAAATCTAACTTCTCCAAGAAGATATAAATGCTGTCTTACACGTCACATTCAAATGAGTACCATATCTAAAAAAAAACATAAATAAATATTTTGATGATTTAATGAAAGACCATAGAGGAAACATCACAGAGGTGACACCACAGTGTGCAGCCTTTACACAGTGTTTTTCCATAGCTCTCCAAGTATTCAGCAGCAGGCAAATATCACTGTTCCCACTTAACTGGTACATAAATCATGACAAAGAGGGGCTTTGGACTGAGACAAGTTATTTAAAGTCAAGAACACCTATAAAAGGACACACTAAATGCAATTTTGTTCTGAGTTCTCCACTGAGAGATGATAATAGATGCTTAAGAACATGAAAACCAAGGCAAGAGCAGAACAACCCTTCATAGCATCTTTTCTCTGCTTCCTGTAGTGAGCAGTTTAAGCAGTTCAATTCCAAGTCCAGATCATCCTGTTTTCCATAACCTTCAAGGAGGGTATTTCCCCTCAGTCTGTCCACATCATTACTGAACTTAATTTAACCTTCAAATTCAGAATTCATTGACAAAACTTTTTGTGATTACGCACAGTATCAAGGTAATTGCCTTTGTTTTAAAGCTGCTATATGAGAACATAAAAAATAGGAAAGCCTCAAGCAAAACTGAATGATCATATCCTAACATTTTTCTGTACTCTGTTCTTACTAAAATTTCCATGTTTTCCAAGATCCAAAGACTTATCCTAGCTATCTGTCTCCCAGAAATAGAATCTAACCTCAAGCCTCTTACTCTCTTACCTAATCCAAATTTCAGTAACCAAATGTTCAGTTTCAAAGTTAACCACAAATACCTGTTTCTACTTGATTTTCCGAGGAAAAAGTTAGGTTTTACCTTTCACTTCCCGGTGTGGTGATTCTGTAAAAACGATGCCTCAAGTGATGCTTGTCCCCATGATAGCAAACTGTGCACAAGTCATAATTTGTGCATTCAGCACACTTCCATCGGATGCCAATGATGGGCTGCTGCCGACAAGTATCACACATAGTCCCATCATGTTTGATACCTGTGGAAGGAAAAGAAAAAAGAAAAAAACCTAAAAACTTTGCTGCATCACTACAGACTTCTGTTGCACATCATTATAATTTGACACTATATAGTAGAAATTTAACAATAAAGAAAGGCTGCTGCTTATACCCTATCAGCCTGAACCACTGAGGGGAAAAGATAGCGGACTTTGCCTCCTATCTCCAGTTGGCAGTCTGTTCCTGAAATATTCTATCTTCTCTCAGCTTAAAAAGCTGAGAAGGCTATGTTTGCTTCCTTCCATCTATACAAAGGAGAGAAAGAAAATGAGAAATCTTTTAACTACAAGTCAAAGGGTCAGAAATGGGTTTATCAAAGCACACCGGGAAATCTAGAATTTTATCTCTGGAGTACAGCTATCAACACACGTTATATCACAAAGGCCACTGTGCTCAACTGTGTGAGGCAGCCTAAAAATTACTGCTTTGACTTACACATTTGTACACTGGAAAATTAAAGTGCTTGTCTCTATTCTTTTTTATACAGGAAAAAAATTAAGCTCTCTTGGATAGATGCCATGAGCTTCATGAAAATCTGTTACCATTTTTGAAGCATTTTACGCTTATTCTGGTTTTGTTTCTAAAACGAAGGTGCCAGAGACAGACCAGATGTAACCCACTAGCATGAGCTCTGCCAAACCTTCCACAAAAACTGATCCCAAGTCTTTAGCCTTACAACTCTGCCAAGATACAGCAGAGTGAAAATGATCAGTCATAGAGTTCCCATCCACCCATTCTAAATACAGGGAACAGCCACAAGTTTATTAAAAAAAAAATCAAATTCTACTGTTTGGAAAAAATTGAGCAATAGAAGAGAGAAGCACTAGCATTCAGTCTGTAGCACTAGACAGAAATGAGCACTAAGAGTAACACAGAATTTTCCCCATCACTTCCCCTGAAAAAAATCCCAGATCAATTTGAAACTAAGTGAGGAAAAAGAATGGATTTTGCCTCCTCCAGGAGGGATGCTTTCAGAAATGAATGCCAAATTCACTATAAAGCTATTAGTCACTTACACCCAACAGCTGAGCCATCTGTAGCAAAGAAAAGTCAACAGTTGGAAAGGCAAAACTGAAGGAAATGCCTTCTTGTTTGATCATTTCACAGAAAAACGTAATAGCTGAGGTTGGAAGCAACATTTGGAAATTGTCTTTTCCAACAACCACTGCTCAAAGCAGGGTAAACTAGAGCTGGCTGCCCAGGACCATATCCATTCAAGGTTTTGAGTACCACCAAGAACATACTCCACAACACAGCATATGCAACCATCCCTAGAAAACAACTGTTTCCTCTGTTTCAGTGGAAATTCCTGTATTTCAGTTTGTGCCCATTGTCTCTTGCCTTGTCATGTGGCACCACTGCTAAGAGCCTGGCTCCATCCTCTTTACAACATTCATCAGGCATTTATATACACTCTTAAGATCTCCCTGAGCCTCCTCTTCTCCAGACTAAGCACCACCAGATCCCTCATTCTCTTCCTGTACCAGACACCCTTAAGATTCTTTGCGACACACTTGCAGCCCTTCACTTGAATCTCAGTATGACCACATCCCTCTTGCTCTGGAGACTATACTGAAGCATTTTACTATTCTTCTGGTTTCCAAGCTAAAGTCTACAAGAGTGGATGCACTAAAAGCACTGAGACAGCTTGTTTGTGGTTTTGTCACCTTGTTTAAAAAGACTAACTAGTTACAGTGCTTGGGGTTGAGAGGTAGTATTTGTTTTGGTGTTATTTCTAACTGATTGCTAAATTTGTATTTCACATAGAAACAGAAGTTATACATCTCTTGATTATATTCTTTAATGCCTGCTGAACTTTTGGGAAGGCATTTGGCCAAGAAATACATTTCTTCTGGATGTGAAGGAACTAAGGAATTGGGTGCTGTAGGATTCTTCCACTTGACCAAACAGCAGGAAGAAACAGCAAAAGAGCAGTATAATCAGGAATCATGTGATACAGAATAGGTCATCTCACTGTAAACTTAAATAAAAACTAAACACTTCTTGACAGTGAGGCAAAAGCAGCTATGCAAAACTCAGCAAAATTTGTTTAGGAAAGATCAAGAAAAAAAAAATCGTACTAAGATATTTGACTCAAGTCATTTCACTGACCACAGTGTCTGGGACTTAAAAAAAGAACAGTGCAAGTCTGTACTTGAAGTATCTGATCTAAAGGGACGTTTCTGTATCTCACAGATCCCTAAACACCATCCTGATAGATATGGCCTTTCTTCATCCATTCCCTGACACATGATTCCAGCAGCAACACCCACTTCAGCACATGCCTCACCTGACCACGCTGCTCCATTCTTTCCATTATGTGAGCAAACGGTTTTTGCAGAGCTGGGATGCAAACTGCATCAAGAAACACACCAGGCTGGAAAACAGCCAGGAGGAAAAATATTCAGCTGAACTGGTTTCCCAATCCCATTCTTTGAGGTGCTGCACAACACTACTGCCATGAGAAACAAAGAACTGCAGGGCAGGAGCAGGCAAGTAATCCTGCTACAGAATGTCTAACCACTGCACCAGAGATCTGGGGGGAGAAGCAGATTTGTATGCTTCTGGTGACAGTGGACTAAGACACCTTGAACTTCATCTGCTAAAAAAAGGATAAAACAAGGTGCTACTACTGATCACATAGTGTGATACTAAACTCTTATTCATGGTCATAATACAAACAAAATTACTTAGATCAAAAATATGTGTTAAAGAAGATTGAAAGAAATTAAGTTCAATTAGATATTATAGGTACACCAAGGGTAGTAGGTTGACCTTGCCTGGCCGTCAGGTGTCAACCCAACCAGTCTCTCACTCTACCTCCTCAACAGGACAAAGAGTGAAAACAAAATGAAACAGCTTAGGTCAAGCTAAAAGTGAAATTATTTACCAATCATCATCACAGGCAAAAGATATTTGACTTGGAGAAAATTTATAGCTAATTTAAAAAAAAAAAAGAGGATGGTGAGAAAAACAAAAACTAAAACACCTTCTCCCAATACTTCACCGTCTTTGCAGAGACAACTGCATTCCTTCGTTCCAAATGCCTCTATCTCCCTGCTTCTTCCCAGGGTAGATTAAAACTACAGAATCTTTTGGTTGGAAAAGGCCCTGAAGACCATAGAGTCCAGCCACTAACTTAACACCACCAAGATCACCACAAACCACATCCCTAAGCACCATAGCTACACATCTTCTAAATACTTGCAGGGATGGTTATTCAACCACTCCTCTGGGCAGCCTGCTCCAGTGCCTGACAACCCTTTTGGTGCAGATGGGGAACGGAGGTCAGTCCATAGCAGCTCCTCACACTTTTCCCCTGCCCCATCATGGGTTCTCTCCACAGGCTTTATTGCTTCAGGAAAACACTCTTTGAGCATGGGCTCCCCCATGCGCTGCAGTGAGGGTCCCCGCTCCACTGTGGCCCTCCCTGGGTGGCACAAGGACAGCCTGCATCACTGAGGTGTCCATCTGCTGGCTCACCATCCACACACCAAAACTCAGCACTGAGGATCTGACAGTGCCACTACAGACACTCAGGGGGAAGAAAGGACACATTATGTCCAGAGTTTCACACTAGCTTGGTTCTACCCCAGTAGACTGAAGGCTCATCAGCACTGAGATAATTTCAATTTACTTTCACCAAAAAGCAAAGTAGTTTATGTACTCCCAAACCATCCATCATGTAAATCAAAGCACAGTATGTAAGAATGACCAGGAGACTGCATCAAGTGTAGGCTCTGGAGCCAAACTAAAATCCTGACCCAAATGCAAAATCTGCCACATAAACTCTTCCCCTCTTCAAGGCTGTTTAAGAAAGCTTGAGAAACACAAATATTACAAAGTTTATATTAGGAAAGAAAGCCTTCATTAAACTACTGGAATAAATTGAAGTGCCATAAAAACTTCAAAGTTCAAACAGCAGCCTACAGCTGACTAGCTGTGCACCAAAAGGGGACTCTAGCTCTCTAAACCGAGTTAGAGCACTTTAGCTCTCTAAACTGAGATCATGAAAAAATTAACCTTCTAAATATTCTTCAAAATTTCCTAGAACATTCCTATTTCAAAATGAAACAGGCTTTGTGTCATATAACTATAAAAACCAAAACAAACCAGGTAATTAGAATGGTACTTTCACTATGCCTAGTTACTTTCATATAACTGTCATTTCCTTATGTCCCTTCACCTTTAGTACATCATAAAATCCAATATTCCTGATGTCCACTTGTCATTAATGCTTTCTACTATTTGAAATTAATATTAGTTTTCTACCTTAATGCCATACCTTAATTTCACTTTTCTCATCTCTTCCCAAATCCTCCCTGGATTACCTAGTCCACCATTCCTCTGTCATCACTCATTTATACATCAATTTCACAGCCCTTCACAAGTTTTTGAAACCCATGCTCACTCTTACAGCTGTCAAAGGAAATAAAAGCAGTGTTGCTCAAATTGCTATTTGAATTTGTTACAAATAGGTTTTTTGTACTGAAGATAATTAGATGGCAATATACAGCTGTCCAGGATTTTAACAGTAAAATCAGATGTACAGGGGGTATCCACATTCACTCACTGTTAAACAGAAGACACCAGTAGTGATTTCACTTCTCAGAACAAACAAAATCTGGTTTCCAATGGAGTCATTACTCTCCACAGAACTGTAATGAACTCAAGTCCCTTCATACCATAATGACAATACCACCATCAGGTAAGGGATACCATAAACAACTTTAAAATTATTTATATACATCCCAATTTAAAAAGCAGTAACAATGTTTTGTTCTTCCTATTCCTTCACCCCAGACCAGTTTTACATTAGGGCCAGAATTCAGGTAAATTGAAAACAAAAAATTCTTAGAGATAACCAGTTAGATTCTGAAAAACTGCATGAAAACTCCAATGAGTGTTCCCACAAAAATAACTCCTCCACTAAATACACCATCTGGAAGTAGCCAGCTGACCAATTATTATTGCAGATACAAAATGCCAGACTTGCTAAAAAACGTGTCCTATCTGGTAAGGGAATCACAAGATACACAGGAAGGGAGAGGATTATCGTGTAGGAGACATGGGGGAAGGGCAGGGAGAACAAAGAACACGTTTATTTAAAAAAACAGGTCTCCCAAGTACCGCTACTCAGGAAGCTATTAATTTTTTTAATTTGTGAAGATATTTCTTCACAAATATCCTGTAGATATTTACAAGTAGCCACTAAAAAAATCTTGACTAAGACAACTTGCTGTAAATTACATTAGATGTTCTAAAAGCAAGAACAAACAAACAAATACACAGGATAAATCATGGGTGCTCTGTCTTTTAAAATGCTTTGACATTTTTGACTTAATGATCAATTATGCCCCTTTTCAGGTATAAAAACCTATTAATACAACACAGAAAGCCACTCATCTCCTGCAGATAACATCCAGATTTTCAGTATTACCAGAATACAGCACATTATGCTTTCCACATTGCACTGATGCACGCTCCAGCTGGGGGATAATTCTGTATCAAGGTTTCCATTTCCTGACTCCAGCCCCTCCGCCACCTCCCCTTATTCAAACACAACTCAGTAAATTCTTTCAGCAGGAAAATAATATTGTTACTTTGAACCAACTGTATAAAAAAAGGAAATGAATGACAAATGAATTCTGCTCTATAGAAAGCAAATCTTCAGAAGGAGAATAAACAGAAAAAGTTTCTGTATTGCTCATGGCTATTATGTGAACATAGCCAGATGTGCTCTCTACAAACGTGGTACTTGTCTGGCCTTTAGCTCAGGCAAAAGGCTGCCTTCCTTTCTAAATAAAAAGCTTGGATTTATAACTTTCTTGCTTCTCTTCAGCAACTCAGAAAACAACTCCTGTTTCTTTTCCAGAACACTGTCAAAAAAGGGGGACACTCAAGACTCGTAGATCCTGGCAAAAGTCTACTTCATAGAAAAAACAGGAATTTTCTGCGAGTAATTGAACAAGCACACTGCACTACTGATGTATCACATCTGACCACTTTCTCCATTGAGGAGCCAGCTATGCAGGATCTACCTGAAGTGTTACTTCCATGTGAAATTTTGATTCTTTTTAAATCCCTGGTTTACCAATCCCTCTCAAGTGCTCTGTCGCGCTTAAAGCAATGTGGGCAATGTAAATATGACCACACCAAAGGGCAGCTAACACAGCAAGCCTGGTAGACACAACCAAAACAACCCCAAACTTTGTATCACAAGTCCCTCATGACCCAGATGAGTACATCTGGAGCAAAGAGTTTATAAGACATTCTTCATGTAAATGAGTTTTTATTTTAAGAAGACCATCCTAGAATCTTAATAGCACTAAGGCTATTAAAGTTTTCTAAGATGTTAACATAGTGTCACAATGCTGGTAATAGCCTACAACCACTGAAAGACAAGAACAGTTTCTCTTTTAAGTCTATGAAGCATAGTTCTGGCATATATAAGCACAAACATTAATCAAACTCAACTTGCCTTTTTTTTTTTTAATAGAACAACCTTCAAACATTACTTTTATAACACTCTAAGTTCCTGATGCACCCCTACTGTTCTTGGCTGCACAGGCCTCAAACTTAAAGCAGCAATTCCAGCTGCAAGCACCACTTCTAAGAACTTACCATCAAGACTAGTTTTGAATACATAATAGAAAGAACTCCCAGCAATAACTGATTTTTATTTTTACTATTTTACTTTTATATTTATTTTCCTTATAAACTTACATTGTAATTGTAAATTCATGAACCAGAGAATTTTTTTTCATTTTAAACTATAAGAGCCATGACACACACTCCACTAAGTATCATCAAACAAAAAGCCACCCCATGCTTTATAACATTTCCTTGCCCAACATCATCATTAATACTACCACAAGAAATTCCTGTTACCTAATCCCACTTACATTAATGTCCCTAGAGAAGTATCAAACTATATCATCCAAAGTCAGTCACTTACTCTAAACAATGGACAGTCACCACCATGGAGAAAAAATAAATCATTACCAAAAGGTGAAGAAGGAAAGTGACTTAGACAAGACTACAAAGTGAATCAGCAGTAAACAGAGGACTTCAGTCCAAACTGACAGCACCTTAACTCTATTAACTTGGCCCTTTTGTTACAACTACTTTACAGAATTCTACTCTTCCTACCTCCAGGGAATAAAGCCCTCAAAAGTAACTCCCTCTTGCAAAAAGCAACCCTGGGTACCCATACACAACAGTTCCATGAGGATGAGGATGATGCTCACCAGAAACCTCAGGAAGAGAAATACCATTTTGCTACGCCTGACAACAGCAATGTGTGTGACACAATATACACAGTTTTATCTGAAACAGAACTTAGAATTCTAAGACAAAATATAAACAGAAATTAAAATCAGAAGGAATAAAGCAAAAAACGGAAATAAAAACATGACAGTTTTAAAACTGAATATTAAGTCTAGGCTTCCAGATAGTTAAGAGGACACCATCTGCTTGCAAATATGTCAGGCAGGGCTAGAACAATGAGCATTCGAGGCTCATATGCAACATTTATGCATATGCTTCAGTTCTAAGCAGAAGCAGTCCCACTGGTTTCTACAGGACATCAAACACAGGTAAAAGTTCCTAAGCATAAACATCCGCAAGACAAGGACTGACAACTTGAAAGACTCCTCTTTCTTGTTCTAAAGTCCATTGCAAAAGGATTTTCAAAAAAAACCATAATCATGCCAGCAGAGAGGAAGATACCCAGTCACTGAAAAATTAAATCCATCTCAAAGGGTAACCATGCAATATTTGGGGTTCTTTCCTTAGCAAGGTTTTTTGTAATCAGTTAGAATGAATTCCATGATTCTGTCTCCTCAAAAGTCTTTTAGCTTTAAGCATTGCTATAATTCTCCTTGCTGTAACACTACACGTAGCTGGCACAAAGATGGTCTCTCCATCACGTCCTAAATGAAAGACATATTACAAAAGAGTACAGCTCAAGTGCCTCAATAAATCAGTGCAAACACTTCATTACTGAGGCCCTGACCAGCCCACAAGTCACTTCACAATATTTCTGATAAAACTTAACAATATCTACATCTTTCTGCGTGAGCTTTCACTGTAAAAACAGGTGCTAAAATGAACATTTCCCTGCAGTGTTTGCAACACTAACACTGCCGCATAATGTCAGTGCAGATCAAATTCCATTGTCCAAAATGACAGGATTTAAAGCATAAATATCAAGCGGCTAAGTCATTAAAAGAATCAACTCATGCACTTCTTTTCCTCCCAGTACCTTTACTATTTTACAGCAACTCTGGCAATACAGATAAAAGGCAACGTGCAGATTACAGGCACAAATCCACAGTATTTCAACCACTTAGTGTAACTTTTACAAAAAAGGCAGTACACATCTCTTCTGCAATTATCCCTATACTTGACTCAAGGATGACTGCCAGTATTTTACAAAACTGCTCCGAAATAGAAATTCAAGAAGTGGGGATCTGGGCGTGAAAGCAAACCCAAACCTTGATGTATCACCCTCTCTCCACCTCCTCCCCAGCCCAACAGGAGCCTGCTGTCTGTGGCAGATCACTTTTGCTTTGTTTCCAATTTAGCAGTCCCGGGACAACTTCTGTCCCCGCGGCCCCGCGCTGTAGCTTGTCCCAAGTTTCCGTGTACACACACACACAGACACACGGGCGAGCACAGACAGACACCCACGCCCGGGGAGGGGGAGGGTGCAGACTCCCCCCGCCCAAGCCCAAGGCAAAGGCGAACCTCTAAAAGGGGAAGAAGGAGGGGCGCAATCCGCTCCCCAGGACGGGACCCCGAGCACCCCGGGTGCTGCCCCCCGACCCAGCGCCCTGGGGGCGGAGGTGCCTCCATTCCCCGCCGCTCACCGGTGGGCGCGCTGTCCAGGATGCGGAGGTCGTAGGCCCCGGAGCAGCGGTAGTTGGCGGCGGTGCCGTTGTCCCACACCACGACCACCTCCTCGGGGCTCTCGAAGCTGCGCACGGTGCCCACATGGCCCTCGCCGCCATCCTGCTTCCCCCACTTCCAGTCCGGGCCGCGGACCACCCGGGCCCCAACTCCTTCCACCATCACCCGGTTGTTCCGCGAGCTGCTCATCCCGGCGGCGGAGCCCTGGGGCGGATGGAAGGGGCGCGCAGCCCGCAGGCGGCGGAGGGGGACCCCGATGGGGGCGGCTACCTCGGGCGCCGGGCGGGAATCTCCGTCCGGCTCTTCTCCTTGCTTGCTTGCTCGCTCGCTTCTTGCTCGCTCGCTCCCCTCCTCCCTTCCTTCCTCGCTCCCTACGCGCCCATTCCCCGGCCCCAGCGGCGTCCCCCGCCCGCTCCCACCGCCAGCCCCGCTCCCGCCGCTACATCCGGGACCTGCGGCCGCGACGGCGCCGGCTCCAGGGAGACCGGCGCGCCCGCCCCCGCCCCGCCGTGCTGCGCATGCGCGGGCGCGGCGGCGGCGGGCGCGTCGCTCGGGCGCCCCCTGCGGAGCCGCGGCGGGCACTGCCGCGCTGGCCCTGCCCCGGCCCGGCCCCGGGGCTGTGCCCGAGGGAAGGGCCGGGAGCCGAGGAGCCAACCGGGGCTGCTCATGCCTGCCGGAGGCTTCACCAGGTCCCCAGCCCGGCCATTCCTTCTGGAATCGCGGCGTCCTGCCGCCGAGGGCTGTGGCGCCGCCCCGCCCGGCCCTGAGGTGATGGTGCCGTGGCTGAATCGGCCGCCTCCTTCTCCATGCGCAAGGTGCTCCTATCGCCTATGCTTCCGTGGCAGAGGGATTATCAATTCAATTGTATCAACTAAGTCATGAGCCATCTACCTTGGGTAAACCATAGAATTATTGAATGGTTTTGGGTTGAAAAGGTCTTTGATGGTCATCTGGTTCCAACACTCCTGCCATGGGCAGGGACACCTTCCAATAGAGCTGGTTACTCAAATCCCCATCCAATGCAACCTTGAACACTTCCAATGATGGGGCATTTTATGAGTCTATAATTCTATGATTCTAAACTTGTGTACTGGTTTTCTCATTTTCAATTCACTTTTGTGTCCTCACATCCCAAACTGTGGATGCGAGGCTTGTGCACTACCGAGGTGAGGTTGGTGGGGCCATACTTTGGTACGCAGGAGCATTTTCAGCTGGTGTTCAGGTGCTCCAGTCTGCCAAGGGAGGAATCAGTACCTCCACCTGCCCTTCCCACCTCGGAGGATCCTTCACAGGGGATCTATCTGCTCAAACTCTGAGCCTATACCTGCAATGCAATTCTTTATAAACTCCCCTCTTTTTTAACACTCTCATCACACTCAAGGATTTCCTTTAACGCCACACAACCTTGCTAATCTTTTATAGAATATAATTCTTCCTTTCAAAAATGGTCCTCGATTACTTTTGTCTCTCCTTTTTTATAATGTCACCTTTTTAAAAGCATCTAACCTAAAGGACAGACAAGTCTGAAACAGACAAAAGAAAACTGTTTCTTAGTCAACAGGGACATGGCTGAAAAAAGGCAGCCCAGCTACCTTGTGTTCAGGGTATTTTTACTGTTTCTGTGCTTTCTTCCCCCTCTGTGCTTATTAATACAGCTAGAAGAGTCTACGAGGTCATCTCCTGACTTCTTTTGTGCATTATTTTACAGAAGGTATAACACAGCAGAATAGTATGAACATGTAACCACCAGGCCTCCACATTCCTCACATAATTTATTCCTTCTTAAACTCTGCTAAGGCTTAAGAATGATATCTCAAACATGATGATGTGTCCTGACAACAGGTAGTCCCAAGCAGTGTCTGATTTCTGCTCGTGCAGTGGAAACCTTGAAGCCCAACAGATACCACACAGTTGCCAGGCAGTGTGGGTTTTATGGCAGGTGCTTCTACTTGTACAAAAGCTACCCACAGCTTGTACTAGCTTATTACATTGGTACATGGCAGAATTTCCCAGAAATTCTGGAGGTTTCTTGATGTTTTAAAGGATGTAGCTGGGCTTTTGTGGGGAAAATTTGCCTATCTGCCTCATTCTACTTTTCCATGCTTTGATAGTTATGGACAAGTAAAAATTTCACACATGCCTAAGGATAACCCAGAGCATGTTTTTCTATTACTCTCTGGTACAGTTAGATAAAAAAGGCTTTTTGTAATCAGGAAAGGTATGCCACAAATAACTAATAAAGTCTGAGATCAGAATTAGTTCTCCTGGAGAGAATCTGAGAAGTTCATCCCTTACATTAATTTTTCCACAAAGGCTATATCCTAAATTACAGACCTTAAGAGAATCTGCTGCTGCTGCTGCAGTTCAGCAGCAATGCATGTGGGTAGATATTATCCTGGAGCTTCTTCTCTCCCAATCATCCTTCTGACAACTCATGCTCTATCATGGAACACACACATGTAACCCAGTATCTATTGGACTGAATGAGACTGCTCCCTCAATAGCTGACAGGGACTTCTTTCCCAGCTCAAAATACAGAGCCTTGTACTACTTTTATTTGAGTGGTAGAAAATAAAGGCTGGATAGACTGGGTTGATGCATTCACACATGCCAATAAGTACATGACTAATTTTTGCACTCTAATCCCCTGCCATTTCTACTCCTATATGGCTACAAAGTTGTGAAAGGTGCAAAATTGTCATTGGCTACATGAATTGGTTTTCCAGAATCCCAAATATTTTATTGTATTATCTCTTTGAATCATACTTTATATTCCATATTCTGTGCATCTGTTTCACCAACTAGTAAAGAAAAAAAAATATATTTAGCTCTTAAATATTTTATTTTAATTAGCCTTCAAAATAAGAAGTAAATACTGTTTTCAGATGGAGATTTAAAAAGTTACAGTAGGGCACAGAAAAAGGATATAGCTTTGGGGAAAGATTTTCAAGTTAAGTTGGACAGTTTGTGGTTCTATCTTGATATTTTTCTGGTATCATTCGCAAGAATATACAACAGCATTAGTGCTAGAATTATAAGCAAGAGAAGTTAATTCTAGGTAAGGACCAGAAGACTATTGGAGACTCACAGAAAGGTGTAAATAGAAGAATCAGAATGTAATAGCAAGAGGAAGAAGAGAGCTTTGAGTTTTGAAAATAAGCTGAACTAAGATAAGAAATAAAACAAGCAAAAGTATAAACAAGATAGAGATTCTATAGGAAGTTGGATCCAATTAACATATTGTGACAAGAAAAGTGACAGGCACCACATTTTCAGATATGTGGCAGCATTTTCTTTAGAAACTGGGAAACTAGCCACCGTAACACCTTAAGGAAAGAACTCATATTCATTCTTCAGCTGAAAAAACCCTTGTAGGCTTAAGGCCTTTTGTGAGGCAGGAGTTAGCTCCTTAGTCGGCTGGTTGTACACAGAATAAATGCACACAGATTTGTAGTTGTCTCTAACAAGTCTCTGGTCCCTCAATAGAACTGTTTTCTTCTCCTGATGTATGCTGAGAACTTCTCATATCTCCTGAACTTGCATTTGCTCCTTATTGCACAGAACAGCTATTTTACAGGAAAGAAGAGAAAGAAGAAGGAAAGTGAAAGAGGGAAGAAGAGAAGAGAAGAGAAGGGAAGAGAAGAGAAGAGAAGAGAAGAGAAGAGAAGAGAAGAGAAGAGAAGAGAAGAGAAGAGAAGAGGATTGAGCCCTGAGGAGCACTTCTGCTGACCAGTAACCAGCCAGATGTGACCTCATTCACCACAACCACATGAGCCCTATCCCTCAGCCAGTTCTTCACCCAGTGCATTGTGAACCAGCTCATCCGATGTTTGGATAACTTGTCCAAAATGATGATGTGAAGGACAATATCAAAAGCCTTACTAAAATCCTGAAAAACTGCATTCACTCTCTTCCCTTCAGCCAATGGATGTGTGACTGTATCATAACCAAATTGATTAAACAGGACTGTCCCTTGTGAATCCATGTGCTCACACTGTAGGTAATTTAATCTATCAGTCCTCAGACTGTGGGGAAAAATGCCATCTAAACCATCAGTACTAGATCTGGCAGATAATTTATTTCTTTGCTTTTCAAGTCTACAAAATTACACTCATAACCCCCCTCCAACCTAGGACCAGTAGAAGAATGGGAGTATGGGGTTTTTTCTACTATTCAGACTGGCAGAGCAGTAATGCCTTAAGCTGCTGTATCATGAGCAAGCAAGGCTTATCTGTGAAAGGCTTATTTACAGTGTTGCTGGCCCTGTGAGACAGTGCTTGCTTTGAACACCTCAGGTAGTCATGGCAGAGCAGTTGAATCAGAAGCTGGAGGAAGGGAATCCACAGTGCTGTAGGCAAACTCTCTCTAATTGCAAGGACTCATTCATATTCATCCAGTGCAGGAGTTTGGATGTGCAATATGAACTAGTGAACAAATTCTCTTCTGGCTACCCAAAATTATGTATATTGCTGAGTCAGTCCTCCAGCTGGTGGTTATGGTCTTCCTCACCACTTTCTGCCATATTGGAGCAATCCAGTAAGGGGCCAAGAGAGAAGATCTCTGGTTTGTGCAGAATTCAGTGCTGTGCATACCCTGTAGCCTCCTTGGTTTTGTTGGAAAGCAAACACTTTTGTAAGAGTGACTTTCTGTAAGAGCAGCTGCCACCTTTCTGAAGGGTAGGGCAACTCTCAAGACAGCTCTCACAGAGTCACAGAAAACAGGACTTTGGAGAACATCCAGCCCATGCTCCTGCCCATCAAAGCCATAGAGAAAGCTGCTTGTCCAAACTCTGCCTGGCTGCCTTTCAGATCTGCAAAATGTCATGCTCCAGCAGGAAATTCTAATATAAGTATTTGCCTGGATTGAAGAGAGGCTTTGATTGAGGTTTTTCTGGACTGTCTTGTTTGATTAAAGCTGAACTTGCAGTGTAGTATCTGGAACACATAATGGAAACAGACCACAGAAAGGAAACTGTGCTATCTGGAGCAGAGAAAAGGGACTGTGCCTTTTGCAGGAAAGAATTCTATAGGAAAGTCTTGCTTTTATACATTTCAGAAGAAAAAAAAATCTCAACTTCTTGGAAAGATATTTTTTAACTTGTAGAGTTGCAAGGTTTTGTTTACTATCTAGCACAAATCCTGAGTTCTTAGAATTTGTCATATGAAGGATATATATATAAATAGCTGCCTATGAGTTGAGAAAGAACATCTAGTTTGGATACAATGAGCAGATTGCAGTTTTCTTTATAAATTACTGAGATAGAGTTTATTACTCTATACTGATCTGAGTCAAAAAATTCTGCTTCCTTAGTTCAAGACTCTATTTTAGAATAAGCATGTTTTTGTAGTCCTCCTCCTGAAAACTGACAGTATTATAGATTTTAATTTTCTGGTTTTGCCCAA